CTGAAAGTCGTAATAATCTTCAATAGCTTCGATCACTTTCTTATCTTGATTATCTGTATCCTAAAGCAAATATGGTTAAAAAACGAACATTAGCGTGTAAAAAGGCTGGTAAATATAAGCCTATTAAAACCAAGCCCATTGGCCAACAACGCAATAAAGGTTTGAAAAAGACTAATTGCAAATAGCATATTAATTTGAGGAATCCTGAAAATACTGATTATATTCACATAACCTTCGCTTATCTTAAATATAATCATACAATAAACGCTGATGATAAAAGATTTACAACGGCATTCAGACACTTTGATGAAAATAAAATATAATGGCTGAGATAGAATATGCAGTTGTTTATAGTTATTGTGATATACATACCATAAGAAATTTGCTCTAGCCTTTATTCCTTAATCAGTTGTTTCTTACACAAGATCTTTCTAATGCAATTCAAAAGATTAAACGTGGAAAAAAGATTAATGGATCTGATGCCTCATAACTATTAAAATTTCTTCTTAATTAACAAAAAGAAGAACCTTCTATATTTGTTCAACCACTAATTAACAAGGATAACAATCGCTTATGTAGCATTTTTTGGATGACATCGAACCAAATTTTATTGTGGTCCCATTATTCCAATGTTATTCTACATGATAATATGTCAAGAACAAATAAATATAATTTTCCATTGTCCTTATTTATTCTTGTTGATAATGAAGGCAAATCTTGTCTATGTGCACAGGCTTTTTTAAATGGTAAGACTCAAGAAAGTTACAAGTGGGTATTGCAGCAAACATTGGAGACAACTGGTATTGAGCTACAAGTTATTATTACTGATACAGATCCAGCTATAAATGCGGCATGTAAAATTATATACCCAAATACATATCATGTGTATTGCATTTGGCATTTATCTCAAAATTTGCCAAAGCGTCTCAAGCCAAAGCTTGGTACTATAAATTTTAAGGAATTTATTTGTGAGTTTTGGGAAGCTTGAAATTCATTAAGCATTGATGTATTTGAATGACAATTTCAAACTATATTAGAAAAGTATCCTAATGCAAGTAATTATTTACAAAACATTATTTATTCAACTCAACAATCATAGGCTTGCTCATTTGTGAACAGAATATTTACCGCCGGAATACAATCAACCCAGCGTGTTGAGTCTATTAATATGCTTATTCATAAAGAAGTCTCTTCTAGTTAAGTATGACTGATGTAATTGAAGCGATTGATTTCCGAATGCAAAAAGAAGGTTTAAATATGAGCTTTATGATATGGAAGCACAAAACATTGACATATCATCAGCCTTTTATTATAGACCGTTTTTTTAATAACATTAATAAACTAGTTTAAAAGCATTTTTCATCATGGATTATTGAAGAAATTAATAATCAAATATGTGAATCGGTACTTTATCAGTATAAGAAAATAAAGATTGATGTTGCCGCTGAATTTAATGAGGATCAATTGGTATGTATAAATTATATTTGTGGTTAACATATGCTATGGCTTATTTATAATTTAATAAAATAAAGGGGTTGTAAATAACTATTTTTTTTTTAGGAACAGTCAATAATTCGAGAAGAATATATTGAACGTCAAATGGTAAATTGCATTTCCAAATGTTGTTATTGATTTATACAATTTTGTTATACGTACTCAAATTATATACAGTATTAAGAAAGTAGCTATTATATATAATTTGAATATACGTATAATGCTGAAATAATCAAAACATGTCGTATTAAATAAACCATATTTGCTTTAGGATACAGATAATCAAGATAAGAAAGTGATCGAAGCTATTGAAGATTATTACGACTTTCAG